AATAAAAACCTCTCTTTATTATTTTATTAGCACAATGGTACATCATTTAATGCTTGGAGTGCTCATCCTGGGTCAGTAACCATGCTGAATCCCTTACATATAATATCTCAATGAATCCTCACAATAAGTGATCATTTTGAGTGTTTACACCTGAGTAATCTGTAAGTCAGTGAGGTTTGGTATTTTGCTCAAGATCACACATCTACGGGACACCTGGGTGGCTCAGTCGTTAAGCGTCTGCCTTCGGTTCAGCTCATGATCTCAGGGTCCTAGGATCGAGCCCCGCATCAGGCTCCGCGGGAAGCCTGCTTCTCCCTCACCCACTCCCCCTGCTTGTGTTCCCTCTCTTGCTATGTCTCTAGCTGTCAAATAAATAAATAAAATCTTTAAAAAAAATAAAAAAATTTAAAAAATTAAAAAAAAAATCACACACCTACAAAGTGGTGGAGCTGAGAGTTTGATGAGAGTCCACATGCCCCCTGCCCCACAATCAAGCATATCATTGCCGTGTATCCCCAAACCACGAGATTCTCATGACCTCATCTGGATCCGTCATAGTGCTCAGCTGCAAATGGCAGCCCCTCCTCCAGCTGGATTGAGCAGAAAAGGGATTTATTTTTTTTTTAAGATTTTATTTATTTGAGAGCGCGAGAGAGCACAAGCAGGGGGAGCAGTACAAGGAGAGGGAGAAGCAGGCTCTCTGCCGAGCAGGGAGCCTGGCGCAGGGCTCAATCCAGGACACTGGGATCACAACCTGAACCGAAGGCAGACGCCTAACCATCCGAGCCACCCAGGCGCCCCACTTTTACACAGAGCCAGCCTATTTCCTCCCATGCTTCATTCTGAACCACGTCTCCCAAGGACAGGTCTTGGCAGAGCCTAGGTCACATGCCCATTTTCGAGCATATTTAAGAAAATGAGGGATCTTCTCTCCTGTCAAGAGCAGCTTCAAAGGTCTGACTTCCTGTGCTAGGAACCACATCCTCCCTAGATGAACGACATAAACCACCATTAATATAGGCCTTTCAAAGAGGAGAGACAGAGCCAAAGTACAACAGCTGTCGACCACATCTTTAATCTCACTGAGAAGCTTGGGGCTCAACTGGGCAAATCATGGTGTAAACTGTGGCTAAGTGGAAAAGTGGGGAGGACAAGGCCATGGAACCAGGTTCATCCACAGAGGTGAAACCACACTGAGCAGAAAGGCCCAGCTAGAAATTCTAAAGCTGAGTCACCACTGGACCGCATGCTCCTTGCTAGAAGGTCCTCAGGGTACATCAGGAAGGACCCACCCCACAACTACAAGTAGGTCTCTCTCTCTTTTTTTCTGAGATTTTATTTATTTATTTGAGAGAGAGAGCGTGAGCAGCAGAGGGAGAGGGACAAGCAGACTCTCCGCTGAGCACAGAGTCCCACACGGCTTGGATCCCAGGACCCTGAGCCACCCTAGGCGCCCCCTCCCCCCCCTTTTTAAAGACTTTATTTCTTTATTTGGAGTAGGTCTCTCTTATAACAATGTTAAGCTTATTTGATATATCTGTCCTGTTGAGACTCTCAGATAGGACCTGTCATACAGGGGGCCTGGGGGATAGGGGCAAACATCAATCATCTAGGGAAGACATGGGTCCTCAAAGAGGAAGCCAGACCTCTGAAGTTGGTCTCAGCAGGAAAGAAAATTCCTTAGTCCTTAGTTTTCTGATTTTCTAGATTTGGGGGAGTGAAGGCATACTTAGGGCACCTGAGGATTCTCTCAGAGGTGGGAGGGTGGTGGCCTCTGCCATTCTACAGCAGGCTGGGGACTGGGCTCAGAGACAAACTGGGGAGGGCCACAGGCCAGGTTCTCCTGTCCCAGGGACTGCCTTCCCTTTGCTTATGTCATCCCAAGCCTTGAGGCAAGTTGTAATTTGAAGTTCCAGTCTGGTCTCAGCTGGGCAAGAAGTACTATGCCATATTTGTGGGTCTGCCCTTAGGCCAGGGGAAGAGAGGGAGGCCAGTGTCCCCTGCCTGGGAAGCAGGGTGGTGGTGGCAGCAATAATACCAAGCAAAATGAGTATCTGGGGGTAACATTTGGGGCTGAGGGGTCCATTTGCACCCCCTCCCTCAGTTACTGATTTCTGATCATCCAGATGGTGGAACGGAGCTTCCCGTTCAGGAACTTGATAAACGTATGCCGAATGAACAGAACATCATCGAAAAGGAAAGGCAATACTTCTAGGAACAACCGTACCAGCGTGAGGGGTGCCTGAGAGGTACCGAGAATGTCCCAAACGGTGGCTGGGTCCCAGTGATGGCAGTCCCAGGCAGTTGGCAGCAGGGACGTACGTCAGGAAGTAGCAGGTCCCGATCATACAGATAAGGTCACAGGGGACTCCCATCTCTGGGAGGCTCCCCACCCCCAAGAGCAGAGCTCTGTCCTGGTAGCTCGATGAAGATAAGGAATAGTACTGCAACTGTTCTATCAAGGAACAGAAAACTAGAGCCCGGAGGTACCAAACCAGACTCAGGTACACAGAACAAGGGCAAAAACCATTTCATAAGGCTGGGAGCCAAAAGCCACTGGGATTTTGAGGTTCTGTCCTCAGGGTGTTGGGCCAGGGTTCTGGTCCTAGAGTCTGAAGAAAGGAGCCCTGAAATCCAAGGCTGGGAATCAGGCAGAGTTTGATGAGTGCCTATTAATGAGTTCAGAAACTACTACTACACCTGAAAAGGTGGCAAAGTTAGAAGGTGAAACACTAACAGAAAAAGGTCAAGGCTGCCTCAGAGGAGAGAGAAGCGTCAGATCACAATTCAACAAACGCTGACCAACCGGCCAAAATCTTTTCTCTGGCCTGAAACTTAGTTCCTTCTGTTAGTGAATCTGTTTTTCCATAAGCGAATTTGCCTTCTTCACAGGAATAATCTCTGTTCAGAGTTTTTATATCATCAATCAAAAAGAGAAAAAGTATTTATTCAGGTGATCAGCCAAAAATACGGTTATTATTCTTAGTAGTTGTTTATATAACAAGGGACCATTGGATGATCATTAAAATGAACTTTATTCACCTTATTAATATAGACAACATTTATGAACATAAAGCGTGCTGTGTTGAAATTAAGGATTTACTAGTGCTTTCTGGTACATTTACCTTCCCATTATCCAATATTGAAAATGGTTTCCTTTTTTTTTTTTTTTTTTAAAGATTTATTCATTTATTTGACGGGGGAGAGAGACATCACAAGCAGGGGGAATGGGAGGGGAAGAAGCAGGCTCCCCACCGAGCAGAGAGCCCAATGTGGGGCTCAATTCCAGGACCCCAAAATCATGACCTGAGCTGAAGGCAGATGCCCAACTGACTGAGCCACCCAGGTGCCCCAAAATGGTTTCCTTTGTATTATGTTGCTGCAATGCAAGTAGGTGTCATACAACTAATTCCCATTCTTTTTTTTTTTTTTTAAGATTTTGTTTATTTTATTTGAGAGAGATAGAGCGCATGCACACACAAGCAGGGGGAGCAACAGAGGGAGAGGGAGAAGCAGGCTCCCCGCTGAGCAGGGAGCCTGATGTGGGGCTCGATCCCAGGACCATGGACCCAGGATCATGATCTGAGCTGAAGGCAGATGCTTAACCAACTGAGCCACCCAGGCAACCCTCATTCTTAACAAGATTCACAGAATCCTAGCCTTCTAAAATGTTTTATAATTATAGTTCTTATTATGTAGCTATATTACCTACTGTTCACAATTTTGTTTAGAGTAATGCCATCATTGGAGAAGGCACATAACTCATTCAGTAAAACAATGACATATTATACCAATTAATTACCCCATCATCTGAGCAGAAAGTCCTGACATTTCCTTTGAAGACGTAGTTTTACTTAACCATCACGCACTTTACAAAATAACTTGTTCTTTCAAAATCAGGGTGGCAAGTGCCCCTTCTGAACCACATCCATAATCCAGAACTCTGAGTTAAATAAGGAAACAGATCCACTCTGTTTGACCACTCTCTGTATTCTTCCAGTTGCCCAATTCTGTGGCTAACGCAATTAAGCAAACCTAAAAAAGTGATTTTCTGAAAGTGGACAGAATGTAACAATCTCATGAATATCAATCTCGTCATTTGCCAAAAGTGCAAACTGGCGCAAAATTCAGACATCTTTTCATTTATGAAAGGGTTCCTCAGATCGGAAATTGGATCCGTACACTGAGATTTTCAGATGGAAAAAGCCTCCGGGGAATCTGAGACATGACACAGAGAGGCTTCAGGTAAACTTAGAGATGAAGCCAGAAGTGAAACCTTAAGTTTCACCTGAGCTCAAGGAGTTTTTTTTTTTCTTTTACCTCCAAAAGGGCAGAGAATACACCCAAACTCTTTTAAAAGTGGCCACTGGAGTCTATTTCTAGAACAGCTATATCAACTAGCTTGGCTGATGGATTTCTACAGCCAAGATAATGAAGTTAGGCAGGAAAAAGTACAACCCAGGTATTTCGTGCTTTTTGGTTTTGTTTTGTTTTTATTCAGTACCCACAGAGAAGGTCTATGAAAAAGGAAGAGTGCAGTAACTCCAATGGGCTAATTTCCAGATCGTAACATTTCTACCCACATAGAGTGTCCTAAAAGTCTTAGAACAGTTGTAAGCTTTAATAACCTCAGGTGTATAAATGCAGCAACCTTGCAAGAAACATTCATCATGTGAAGGTTTGCTTGCCTACAGTCTACACTTCCTTAGTTTTGTGAACTTTGATAATACTTTTTAAGGTTTTTTGTTGTTGTTTCTTTCAGTAACTGTTTGAAGATGGCAACAGCAACTGTTTTTGAGGTATTAGAGCTGAAAACTGCACTAAGACTTTTTGCAATCCCCTTTATATGATCCCATCTGAGTCCCTGTCCTAACTCATTTCACCCATGACTGACATTTAAACTCCAGAATGGGTTAAATTGTTTTCCAGGAGTTCTCTTCTTTTCTTGCAACATCCTCAGAGCAATGCTGGTTGAACGTTTCTCAGGCTCAGTTTCTTACAGTTTTCTCACTCACACATCACTGGAGATGTGATTAGTTTTGTGAAAAGTACAGAGACTCACAGTTCTCAGACTCTTCTGTTACAGCAATAAATCTCAGCTTCTAAGTGTGATGTCAGTACAAATGAAAATGGTTTGAGGTAGTACTGTGAATATTTAAGTGGTCATATTTTAATAAATTTCCACACATTCATCCAGTTAAAAAAACTTGTCTTGACTTCAGGTGTTTTCTCCCCTTCTCCCTGATCAGTGTTGTCTGGGTTTTTATCTGTGACTTCTTCTGTTTTTATAAGGCTTTCATATACTTCCTGGGCTCTGGCAATTTCTTTCTGTGCATCAAAATGGACTTTTTGGCTGGTCAGGAGGGGAACGATTAAATTAAAATCATTAATTCGCTTGTTTAGTTTTCTGATGTTTTCTTGAAACTGCTCACAAACTTGGCTCCACTGTTTCTGTTCAGTTGGTGTCATTGGATTCCCAAGTTTTTTCCTTGACACTAAAATCGCCTCTCTGAGTTGATCAATGGTATCCTTTATTTCCTTTTGCATTAGGATCCATTCTGGTTGGTATCCATTATCTATCAATATTCTGTTCAAGTTGTGAGTCATGGGATCAATATATGAACAGCCAGAAAATTTTTTTAGAGGTTTTCCCTTCCCACTGAGATTGTCAAAGTCTCCTTTGGCCATTGATTCCTGAATGAGATCCTCTACTAAACGCTCTATAGCTTGAGTTATCTTTTGTTCTTTACTCTGTCTTACATCTTTAACAATCAAACTATCAACGAAATACTGGCTTTGTAGTTTCTGCTTCTGATATTCCATCACTTGCTCAGTTGCACGGTCTGCTCTAAACTGCCTATATTGCTTCTCTCGTTGACTTGGAGTTCCAAAACCAATACCTTCAAAACTTAAGTAATGCCGGTGTTGGGGTGTTTTATATTTGAATTTGTCTTCTTCCTCTGCTTCTCCAACTTTATTCTGTTGGGCATTTGTTTGTTCTAGCACGTGGGAAAGCACCTTCCTATAAGCTTCTTCGATCCTTATAAATGTTGCAGAATCTGCAGTACTAGAGCCACCATCTGGATGGTATTGCTTGGCAAGCTTACGAAAAGATTCCCTGACATCATCCGCAGAGCATCCTTCATCCAGATTTAGCTGCCTATAATATTCTCTCATCTTCTTTTTGGATTTATGAGTTGACATCATTCTATTTCTAATGACACCAAGATATGGGAGCATTTTCATTCTATTAGATATCATTGAAACATTTATCAGATGAGATCTTAAGATTTGAGCCATTGTCACATACATCGTGTTCATAATTGTACCCAGAGATCTTCCTAGAGATGGCCTACAAACAGACAACAAATACAGAGTGAAGAAAGCTGTTATTATCAGCAAATCTCATATTTTCAGCAATAAGGAAATTACAGGTACAATAAGGGGCAGTTCTTTCTAATGCTGCTGCCAAATGCTTACAGCTATACTTCACTTTTGTTAGCAGAGAAATGGAAGTTGATGATGCTTAGTATTAACATATTATGATATAATCTGGATTTTACTCCTCACTAACCAACCACAGAATTTCAGAGCTGGTAGGTTCTTAGAGAGCTAATCCAATCTTCTCATTTATGAGAAGGTTAAGGTCGGCCCAGAAGGTTAAGCAACATAACCCAGTCACACAGCAAGGTGTAAGGAAAATGGTCAGGTTTAGGGCACAGTAAGGTCTTGCTTAATTCTCCGTACCCCTAGCAGATTATAAACTTCATCACCTCCACTCCATCTTAGTGTAATACTGTCGTCATCATCTCAAGGAGTCTTCTCATGAGGCTTATTCACACACGAAACAGAGAACACGAGCAAGTATGTACCTAGTCTGACACTAAATTGAATAGAATCAAGCGTCCAAAAGACTTGAAGCTCCCCACCTTATCAAGAAGGAGCTGTTTGCTACATGCCAGAAAACCAAGATGAAAGGTGGGCCCTCCCGACACGTTATTAAAAATAAGTAAATAAAACGCATGGTCTAGCAGAAGAGGACAACTTACACCGAGATAATAATGGCAATGAAATGCCAGAAGCGCTTTAATTGCAAGTGGGACTTTGATGTACAAACGCTAAAACTGAGTTCCTGGGAACCCCAATTTTCTGGACAGTTGGGGTCAACGGCTTTAGAGTTGGGATGGCGGTGGCCGAGCCCACGGTGGCCATTGCGGGACACGCCTCGCCCCGCCCCCTACTCACCTCCACAGCCTTGGGGAAGGGGCTTAGCGGCTCCCGCCCCCATGCTGCGCCTCTGCGCATGCGTGCGCGGTCTGCCCTTCGCTGTCTGTCGTCTCGCTGTAGCCCAGGGGAGGTGTCTCCGCTGGACTAAACCATCTGTCGTCTTACCCTGAGAGGACCACAGTGGGGACGGAGGACAGAATCGGACCTAATCGGGACAGAGGTCCTACTTTAACAGGAAACCCAGGAACCTCGCCTAAAACGAACTCTACCCTGGGGGACACAGGCAGGACAATTCGGAGGCTCCGCCCCCGCTCCCACCTGCCCCGAGGGGGTGGTCCGGCCGATTGGGATTGTGGGAGGTGTAGTTCGCAGGGAAGTGCGGCGCACTGCGGCCTTCGCCGTGCGCGTGCGCCTTCCCGGAAGGAGGGGGGACGGCGGAAATGTGGCTGTGGCCTGCAACTGGGGCGGGCCGACTGCGTTGCAGAGTGTGGTGAGTGTAGGTTCCGACCCTTGAAGTCGCAGCGGTTCGGGGGCGACGGCCCTCGGTAACCTGCTTTTGAGAAGGGACGACGAGGTCGTTTCCCCGAACAGGTCTGAACAGCCTCTTCCGGGTCTGCAGATGGGGCACCAGCGAAGAGACTTGAACGTTCTACCCAACCCAGAAAGATCTGGGTAACCCAGGCTAGAATTAATTCGTTAATTCAGCAAGTACTTAACTGAGCAGCTCCCTTAGCCAGGCGTTGGTAGGTAGGGGGTGAAGACAGTTGAGCTCCAAATCAAAACAGGGGTCTCCTGGCTTTTAAGCTCAGCCACTGTCATGGGGATTTCCTGTTTCCCCCTCTTGAACGGGGAGGTAATTTTTTAAAAAAGAAAAATAGAAAAAGGCAGAAAATTGCTTTTCTCTGTGTCTGCCAGTAAAATAAGGGTGCCAGTAAATGGTAAATGTATATTTAGCACTTTTTGCCAGCTACTGTGCTAAGTGCTTTATGTATAGTCTCTTAATCCTTACAACAGCCCTAGGAAATAAAGTGTAGTTATCTTCCTCATTTACACATGATGAAATAATAATTGCATGAAATGCACTGAATTTTTGTGAGAATTACACAAGATGTGTAAGCCACTTCGCACAATGCCTGGAGCATTAAGCAATGTATTTTATTATGACTATGCCTCCGAAAAGGAGCCAGAAATAGGTACTGGCCTTCCTAAGCTTCTGAATTATAGACAGTATAATAGTTTGCTACCTCCTATGTAGTTGTACAGAGAAAGACCTAAATACTGATGCAGAGGGATTGCCTTATGAGCAAACAATGAACATCAAGAGTTCTGTGTGTGAAACAAAATAGTGTTTCTACAGTGTTAACTTTTCTGGCCAACATCTTAAACACAGCATAAAAGTGGAAAAAGCATAAACTTGTCTTTAAAAACGACTCATATTTGTATAGCACTTTGCGTTTTACAAAGCACTCATCACAAATCTCATTTTGATATTTGCACTTTAGAAGTTACTATACTTCAGCACCATGTAGTTAAGTGCCTTTTGTTAAGTTACTAGAACTCTTAGGTCCGTTTCTCTTTCAGAGTGTCAGTTTTATAGCGTGATTCTGTACTTGTAGAAGGTGAATTGGAGTTTGGCTGAATAATCTATTAGGAACAGTTGCAGCTGCAAAATGCAAACTAGCTAACTGATTTGGGGAATTATTTTTCTCATGTATAAGAAATGTGGAGGTAGCCAGTTTCTGGGTATTGTATTGGTTCATCTACCAAGAGTTGCCACATTTGCTTTACCAGTCTCTCCCTTTCTCTATATATGTGCTTTTTTTTTTTTTTTTTTTAGATTTTATTTATTGGGACGCCTGGGTGGCTCAGTCGTTAAGCGTTTGCCTGTGGCTCAGGTCATGATCCCAGGCTCCTGGGATCAAGTCCCGCATCCAGCTCCTTGCCCGCGGGAAGCCTGCTTCTCCCTCTCCCACTCCCCCCTGCTTATGTTCCCTCTCTTGCTGTGTCTCTCTCTGTCAAATAAATTTAAAAAAATTTTTATTTATTTATTTGACAGAGCACAAGTAGGCAGAGTAGCAGGCGGAGGGAGAAGGAGAAGGAGGCTCCCCGCAGGGCAAAGGGCCCGATGCGGGGCTCGATTCCAGGACCCTGGGATCATGAACTGAGCCGAAGGCAGACGCTTAACTGACTGAGCCACCCAGGCGCCCCTTTTTTTTCTTTTTAGGATTTTATTTTTAAGTAATTGCTACATCCAGCTTGGGGCTCAAACTCACAACCCCGAGATCAAGAGTCGCAGGCCCCACCGACTGAGCCAGCCAGGTGCCCCGAGGGCTTTGTTTTAATCCATGTCTTTTTTTTTTTTCCTTCTTTTGTTTGCTTGTTCTGTGATAACTGCAAAGAAGTTGATTTATTTCCAATAAGTTACCATAGTAACCAAAAATCACACTTCCTGAAGCTTGACTTATGGTTCAGTCTGCATCCTAAAACCACATACTGTCCAATGACGCTTGCTAATGATAACTTCTGGAGCTACAGTTCCTGTAACCACCATGAATATGCTTTCCTTTCTGGGTGCCAACTTTTTTAAAATTATTTTTTATTTTTTTATTTTAAGTAGGCTCCATACCCAGTGTGGGGCTTGAACTCATCATGACCCTGAGATTGAGTTGCATGCTCTACCGACTGAGCCTGCCAGGTGCCCCTCTGCGTGGCATCTTCATTCATTTTTAAACTATTTGCTGAAGAAAGAGTTTGATGCTGGGGCGTCTTGGTGGCTCAGTCAGTTAAGAGTCTGCCTTCAGCTCAGGTCATGATCCTGGGGTCCTGGGATCGAGCCCCACATGGGGTTCCCTGCTTGCCTCTCCCTCTGCCTGCTGCCTGCCCCCTGCCCCCGCTTGTGCTCTCTCTCTCTCTCTCTCAAATAAATAAAATCTTAAAAAAAAAAGCTTGATGTAGAGTATCAGCTTTTAAAGAAAGAAGGCAGTGGGTTAATTTACATAACATGACAATACTCTAAAGTCTAGGGGGATTAGGGAACGGTGTGGTGGGAAAGAGAAGATTCACATTCATTTGGATATTTTCTCCTTTTCCCTTTTCCCAGCTAGGTAAAACAGTTATTAAACCCTCCTGTATGGGCCACACACGGGGTCTGTGGGACTTTACCAGCGGTAAACCCCGCCCATGACGTTTGATTTTCACTTTTGGCATGGAATTAATGTGATGATTTATAAGTGTCACCTGAGCCTGAATTGTTTGCAGTTGACTGGTGCTGATCTACAGCACTTTCTGTTACTTGAAATTGTGAATAATGTATATAGCTCCCTCTAATTGCAGACCAGTGGGGGGGAAACAAATGCACACTATCTGTCTGGGAACCAAGATTTGAATTGTTTCTAACCCATATTACATTTACTCACCATGTTTATTGAAATCACTGCTTTACAGCACAGCTACTCTCTGCTTTTCTCACCCTTCAGAATTTGTTTCCAGCTTTATTGAGGTCTAATTGACAAAAATTGTATGTATTTGAGGTGTACAATTTGATAATTTCATATACGTATGTATTGTGAAATAATCACAATCAAACTAATTATCAAGCTAATTAACATATCCATCGCCTCACATGGTTGCTTTTTCTTTTTTTTTCTTGAGGGGGGTAAAAACACATAAGATCTACTGCCCTAGCAAATTTCTTTCCTTCTTTTTTTTTTTTTAAAGATTTTTATTTATTTATTTGACAGAGACACAGCGAGAGAGGGAACACAAGCAGGGGGAGTGGGAGAGGGAGAAGCAGGCTTCCCGCGGAGCAGGGAGCCGACGCGGGGCTCGATCCTAGGACCCTGGGATCATGACCTGAGCTGAAGGCAGACACTTAACGATTGAGCCACCCAGGTGCCGCTCCCCTAGCAAATTTCAAGTATACAATACAGAATTGTTAATTACAGTCAGTCTGGATGTTTTGATAAGTTAAAAAAACCAGTATATGGGGGCGCCTGGGTGGCTCAGTGAGTTGGGCTTCTGCCTTTGGCTCAGGTCATGATCCCAGGGTCCCAGGATCAAGCCCTGGCATTGGGTTCTCTGCTCAGTGGAGAGCCTGCTTCTCCCTCTGCCTCTCACCCC